AAATCAATCAAGGTTCATTAGATACATAAATTTGACCCAAGTGGATCTTTAAAAAAAAAAATTGCAGGTAAAGCTGAAGGTTTCCTCTTTGAAGACGATGGTGATGGATATGAATACACTAAAGGAGGTTATCTCTTAACAACTTATGCTGCTGAAAAGCACTCTTCCGTGGTTATTGTGAAGGTTTTGAAAACTGAAGGCTCTTGGACGAGGCCAAACCGTAGGTTAAACGTGAAACTTCTTCTTGGGAAATGTGCTATGGTGAGTGACTGTTCGTCGGAGTTTAATTATTTTGTGACCAGAATTTTTGCATTAACTAAAAGTTGCATTTTTGTGACTCGTTCTGCAGATTGATGCATGGGGTGTCGATGGAGAAACTCTGGAGATTCCATTGCCTCCGGAAAGTGAAGTGCCAGATTTAGTGCTGGCTGGTGCAAAGCAATTTAGAACTCGTTTAGGTGAAGTATTTTCCTTTTAAATAATAATGCTGAAAAAGAAAAAAAGTGAACACTCATTAACTGAATCAATTGAAGTTTTCCAACAGAGGCAAAAATGCATTTTTAGTCCTATTGGTTTAACTGCATAGCAATTTAGTCCTAAAGTTCCAATTTTTCGCCTTTTGGTCGTGTGAATTAATATTTTGCTGCAATTTCAGTTTTTGAGGACTCAAATTGCAACAAAAATTTTAAATTACAAGACTTAAATTGCAACAAAATTTTAAATTACAGGACTTAAATTGCTAATAAAAAATCCATCCCAAAGGTGTAAATTTGGGAATTTGTTGGAGCAAAATATTAAATCAAAGGACTAAAGGCGAATGTTAGAATCTTGGGACTAAAATTGTTATGTCGTCAAAACTAAAAATGCAGTTTAGCCTCCAACCAACCAAAATTTGATGATTATCACATTGAAAGTTCCTTTCATGATCATTACTGATTCCTATATTTTGTTATTTTTTTCCAGAAACTGCTAAACGTATTCCGGACCAAGATAATTTCCCTGGACACAAAGGTACAGAACTATCAAGAACACCAGTCGAAATAAAAAGTGGGGATTGGGCTTTGAAAGTTGTACCATGGATTGGAGGTAGAGTGATTTCAATGCAGCACCTCCCGTCAGGTAATTAGCCTTCACGTTGTTCTCAAATTTTTTACAGTGCTATTTTTATTACGGTTTAGTAAAATACATAGAATGTGCAATAAATAGGTACTCAGTGGCTTCATAGCCGAGTGGATATCAATGGCTATGAGGAGTACAGTAGCGTGGAGTTCCGATCAGCAGGATGCTCTGAGGAATATTTAGTTGTTGAGTAAGTGTGTGTAAATCACAAAAAATAATTGCTTTATTAAAAAAAAAATTGACTTTCGAGCTTTGTGTAAATGTATATAATTCACCTTCACCATGTTAAAACCTTGAACTTTCGGTGCTTTACCTTACTCTTTGCTCTGTAGGCGGGGAATGGAGTTAGCCGGAGAAATGGAGTCACTGCAATTAGAAGGTGATATTGGAGGTGGTTTAGCCCTCGAACGACAGATATATATTCCGAAAGACAATAAGAAGATTATCCGTATAGATTCGGGCTTAGTGGCCCGCAAAGTTGGTGCTGGATCTGGAGGATTTTCAAGGTTTATCAATCTCAATTAGATAAATGTGTTCGTAATATTTTGGTTCAGGTCCAGAAGTATTTTGTTCTGCATTGTTCTGTTGAACTGGAAAAACGTACATGAAAAAACTGCATTACTGTAATCGGAACAAATTTCTTCGTTTTCTTTTTTTTACAGTTTCTTTTAATTTCTTCTCTGCAAGCTTATAGTGTCTTTTGTTTTCATTTTCCACAGGCTCGTTTGTTTGAGAGTTCACCCAACTTTCAATTTGCTGCACCCTACTGAATCATATGTATCGTTTACCGCCATTGATGGGTCCAAACGTGAGATTTGGCCGGAATCCGGCGAACTTGCTCTCCAAGGGGAATTTCGCCCAAACGGTATAACTTTAGTAATTTTTTTTTTTTTCATGTTATCCTAGAAAAGCACAGATATTGTTAAGTAAATCAATCACAAGGTGCAAAACTGGGAAGCATTTATTGTAACATAAATTAGGACACATCAATCATCATGGCTAAAAAAAAAATTAGAAAAAAAAAACTGAAAGATGGAAAAAGTCTTGATAATACAAATTCAACTAAAAAATAGAAAATTCAAAAAAACCTAAAGATTTTGAATTTCCTCATCAGGTGAATGGAGGCTCATCGATAGATGTCTCGGTTTGGCTCTAGTAAACCGGTTTAATACAGCTCAAGTTTACAAATGTCTAATTCACTGGGGAACGGGCACAGTAAATCTGGAGCTCTGGTCAGAAGAGAGGCCCGTCTCGAAGGGCTCTCCACTCAAAATATCTCATGAGTACGAGGTAATTGAAATACCTTAGACCTTTTATCTAACCTTAGTAATAACGAAGAGTTGATGAGATAAAATCTCGAGCGTACGCAAGTGCCTCATGGGTTAAGTTAATAAACTGCTTGTATTAAGCATGAAGAATACAATGCGCTAAATATGTTTGACCGGAATTTATGTGGATCGATTTCTTTATTAAATAAAGCAGAAAAATGATTCGTGATGTTTATTTGATCATTATTCTTAATTCATTTTTTTTTTCCTTTTTGTTGGTTACAAAAGGCGACAAAAATGGATTAGTCGATACTCTCGGCAT